TGTAATATGTAGACTTTGTTGAATAATTTGAACAAATCAGTACTCTGGAAATGCATTACTGCTGAAATAATCCAGGTTGTTTCAGATACTTGGGCATTTTTTTCTTTTCTGCATGCTTTTCTCACAGTTCATATAGGAAACTTAATCTGCTGGTGTTACACTTGCTAATGAATAATTCACTGGCTCTGAAGACCACAGCGGCTAACAAATGAATCCACTGTATCTGAACATAAATAAATGGCTTGCAACAAAAATTTGAAGTCTTTTCAAATTATACATTATGAAATAAACATTTATGTTTATGTCCTTGGAGAGACAACTACCTCTATTAAGGTTGTATGAATGGAATTGAGAGAAGGGGCCTTCTTTCCTCACTAGAGCCTTGTTAGATAACTCAAGTGACCTTTTTCTTGACATAGGATCAGAACTGAAGGCTCAGCATGCATTGGAGCAGTGGCCCTAAACCCTGATTTTACTACCTTTATCCTTTCAGACTCTAAATGAAGCTATAGGATCTCTTCCCAGAATAAGGCACATCTGCAAATGAAGGAAAGATTGCTCATCATTTCAGGGAGTTCAGGATCCCTGGGACAGTCACAGAATCACAGGGTTTAAAAACCCTGTACTCTAGTACACTTGCAAATGGATATCTAGTACACACTTGCAAATGGATATTTTTATGGCATGGAATTTATAGTATATGGACCAAAAAAGCTGCACCATGCTTTTTTCTTCTTAGGTCTATATTTTGAGATTATTTACTGTTAGGGTTAATAGCTCTGCCTTGTTGTTTTCCATGCTGTGTAATATTCCATCATATGTCTAAACCATAATTTAATTTGACCCTAGTGAACATTTAGTTGGTGTTTAGTATTTTATTTTTATGATGAAAAATGGGGTAGCATATGTCTGTTTTTAAGTATATCCATGGGATACATTCCTAGTAATGGAATTGCGAAGTTAAATTAAAAATTTTTTAATAAACATTTTACATTATTCTCCAGAGATGTTATATATCATAGGCAGAACAATGGCCTCCAAAGATGCCCATAATCCCTGTGTCTTGCTCAGCTTTCTTGCTGCTGGCACAAAATACCAGACATCCACAGCTAAAGAGGAGAGGTTTATTTTGCTCAGAGTTTCAGAGGTTTCAGTTTATGGTCAGCTCATTCCAAGGCAGGAACATCAAGGTGGAAGGACGTGAAGGAGGAAAGCTGCTCAACTCATGGCATCCAGGAAACAGAGAGCAGGGGAAGACCTAGAGAAAAAGGGTCTGGGACCAGATATAGACCCCCAGGATTACAACTCTATGACCCAGACACACCCAGCGGTATATTTTACTAATCTCTCAAGCCAATCAAGTTGACAATCAAGATTAACCATCAGACCCTGACACCCATGAATATGTTATCTTACAGAATAAAGACAAAATTAGATTTCAGATGGAATTAAGGCTGCTAATCAACTAAATTTAAGAGCAGTTGTTCTGGATTATCCGGGTGATCCCAATATAATCACAAAGGTCCTCAAAATTGGAAGAGAAATTGAGAAATGGCAGCATGAGAAAGACTTGGCTTGATGTTGGTGGCTTTGAAGACAGAGGAAGGCAGCTTTATGCCAAGGAATATGGGCAGCCTTCCAAACCTGGAAAAGCAAGAAAACAAAGAAGGCAAGGAATGCAGCCCTGCTGGCATCTCAGTCCAGTGATATCTGTGTGGGATGTCTGCTCCTTACAACTGGAAGACAATAAATGTGTTTTATTTCAAGCCCGAAAAGTTGTGATTGTTATGGTAACCATAGAAAACTAATACATTGTATGTATTTATGCTCCTAACAATGTGTGTTTCTTCACACCTCTCCTATTAATGTCTTTACAAAATAGAATATTCCTTTTGTTATTTGAAAAGAAGTGTTTATAATTTTCTTATAATTTTTTAGTGAAAAGGAGCCACAATTAATTGTCGTATTAATCTCAGCCATAATTGATTATCATATTCTTGTTCTTTGCTAATTTACTCATTGGCAAATTCCCATTTGGGGTATGGTTTCATTTTCTTGTGTGGGGCCAGGATGTGAACAGGATGTGCTGATCTGGCATGTCAGCAGTGCTGATGTCACTACTGATTAGGCTGCACTGCAGAAACACTCTGGGAATAGAAGTTGTTGACTGGGATCTGTTTACTGCCACGAAGAGTTACTGATAACCAGTGATGAACCATTCTCTCGAAGTAGTAACAGTTCAGTCCTTGAATGGCTTGGCTTGGCCTTCAGCAGAGGTGGCATCCTCACTAATTACTTTGCAAGGTAGGCCATAGGCATTGTACCTGTAGCAACTTTCACATCTCCATGACAGCTAGGAGTCAGATGACCATGATGGAGGAAATTAACAGAGCATAAATATTTTCTATCAATTCACTTAATATCCTTATGGCAGACTGGGTCAAATAGCTCTGCCTTGTTCTTTCTCATTTGACATCTGTAGTTTGCTCTGATGTGGTGAGATACCCCCGTACCTGTGTACATTGACTCTTACAAACTGGCTTTGCCATCTCTAAATTCAACATCTATTCCAAGGTATTCATTGAGTATCTGCTGTGTTAGTTACTTTGTATTCAAGCACACATCTAGGGTTTATAGGTTCTGGAGACAAATAATAAATCAACAATCGTGGAAACTGTACAAAGAGGCTTATTTATATTCATTGGGTAATACCCTAAATATAGATTGGATGATACCAAAGATACAGATTGAGGAAAGCAAAGGACCTAGATATAATTGTGTGGCCATGTAGAGAAGGATTAACAGAAAGAAAAAGAATGGCTAGATGCTGGGCATGGTGCCACACATGCCTATAATCCCAGCTAAATAGAGTTTGAAGTAGGAGGATTGAAATTTTGAGGCTGGACAGGGAAACTCTAAAGAAAAACATAAATAGGGCTGGGAATGTAGCTTAGTGGCAGAGTGCTTGCCTAGCATGTGTAAGGTCCTTGGTTTAATCCCCTTTACTAGAGGAGAAAGAGAAGGAACAGAAAGGGGGCCAGGGAATTGAAGGGAAGCCAGAAGAGGGCTGGGTCTGAGAAGCCAAGCAAGGAGAGTCCAGTTATATTGAATTAAAGACCAGAAAGGATATGATGGGTCAGTGTATCTCTAGGATTAATAGGATGTAGGGGCAATGATACTTAGGACACACCTGCATTCAAATGTGACTGCTGTCTTTATTAGTTGTGTAGTCTTGGGAAAAAGGCTGTTTGGCTTTAGATTCTGCATCTGTAAAATAGGTTTCTCCCTTAAAGAATTATTGTGGGGATAAATTAATATATGTGATGTGCCCAGGCTTTTGTAGATACTCATTACACACTTCCTTCCATTATACCTGTAGCTACTTATCTATAGATCCATTTTGATTGTCACTCTCTTTGATATCTTAGTATTGGTGTTATGGTTTGTATTTAGATATCCCACTAAAGCTTTATGTGGTCACAGGTGGGGCATTTTCAGAGGTGGCTGGACCTAGAATGCATGATGCTGGTATTAAGGGTATATGATTACTAAATCTATCCACTGATTGGTTTGGCACCATCCTAATCCTGGTAGCCTAGATAGAGTATAAAAGGGGCAGAAAAAAAAGCTGCTAAGGTCTCTTGCTTGCTTTGCTACCTTCTTCCCGCCATGAACTGTTTCTCCTCTGTGATGCCTGTCTGCCCCTGCCACCCTGCCTTGGAGCCAGCTAATGATGGACTGAAACCTCTACAAATTGTTAGCCAAATAAACCTTTCCTCTCTTAACTTTGGGCATCAACTATTTTATCTCAGTCATGAGAAAAGTAATTAAGACAACTGGCGACTTACCTATAGGAATCATCATAGGTGCTGTGAGCAGTGTTAAGGTGGCAAATCAGTGCTCTGGATACTGTAGGTAGCGAGGCACTCACCTAGTGCAGAGAGACAGCAGTAGGATCGGAGAAGGACACAGGATACAGCACCATCCTTCATCACACTGAGTTTTTCCCTTGCAGGTAAAGGAACTGAAATTACTTAAGTGAACACCTAGTTCTTCTCTAGGAACATCTTTGTGTACCATTTCCAATTGTATAAATCTCTAATGAAAAAATGAATAATAACACACACACACACACACACACACACACACACTTATTTTTAGAGGCAGCAGTGGCCCTCCCAGATTTTTTGAATTAGCTAGAAGCAGCCACTCACTTCTCCCTTCCTTTATTTTTTATCAGATTCAGTAAATGGAAAAATATAATTTCCTTTACTAAGAATTCTTGCTCTGCTTGCTACTTCAGACAGATTTTAGTTACAACGGCCTTTAGCAAATACAGTAACTACCTAATGTCAGATAATGTGATTAATTGCTAGCTTTAAACTCCAGGAAGGGCTGAACAATACATTGAAGAGAAGGAATGACAAATACTCCTATTTTTGTTAACAAAGAATACTCGACTTTTAAATATGTTACGCCTCCATTTCTAATTAGCACCCGTTTCAATATCTTGTGTCAGCGACCACGTTTTCTAAACCAAACACGAGGACATAATAAGCAAGAGAGTACCTTCAGGGATAGGCAACTATACGAAATTGGAATTGTTACAGAAATTTCAGAGCCTAGAGGTCGCGTGAACACTAAAAATGGGTAGTACTTAAATTATAACGGAACTATGATCTCACTCCACTTTTATACTTGAAACTGTAAACATTTTATAGTGATTGGATTGAAAACTAGGGCCCTTGGCATCTGCTGACCTAGCTCCCACTACAGTACTGAGCAGCAGGCTGGGGCTATCTCACCGCTCAGGACGCCCACAGCCCGCCGCGCTCTCTAGCAGAGCAATTGGGGCGGGGAGCGCGCCTGCGCCGGGCTTAGCTCTCGGTCTAAGGTCGAAGGTTGCGCGTTTGAGTGTCCATAGCAACGTGACGCTTCTGCCTTCTACATTCCTACCCCTTCGCGCTAGTTGTGAGAGACCCGTCCTGGTGCGAGGGACCTGGGCTAGGGGCGGGACACATGGGGGTGCAAGAGGATGGGGGGCTGGGGAAGCGTCTGGGAACAACTGCCCTAGGAAACTTGGTTTAAGGTTTGGCACAAAAGGAGCTTGTCATTCCAGTCCTCTTGCCCACGCAGGGAACGATGCCTCTGGAAGTGGTGGTGGAGCTGCAGATCCGGGCGGTAAGAAGTTCACGAACCTCCTTTCTTAAACCAAGTCAGGGTCTTAAATGGTTTGGGTTGTCTTCACCACCCCTCCCCCACTCACCACACACATCATCTTTTGGGACAAATCTTAACTTTGTCCTTAAGGTTTTTTACATTTGTCTTCTTGGACTTCATAAGCTTAGTTTCAGCCCAGCCTCTTCCCACTTTTTTTTTTTTTGTTCTTCCAAAGCCAACATATTTCTTAGCTTTATCATGAATTTTTATTGTTTTGAAACATTGCATTAAATTCAAGGAGGGTTTTCGTGTTTTTAGTATAAATATTCCTGATAATCTGCTCTCACTACGAACCAATCAAATGTTTTCTAAACTGTGTCCTTTAGCGATGGTTTGCTAATTCCAAAAGAGAAATTAATCAACAAAGGTTTTATAATTATTCACCACATCCTTCCTAAGAGAGGTGCTGGGGCAGAGTGAATTTATTGTTCCTCTGTAGACCTGTCATTCTCATTTTCAATTTCCATTTTCCAGTTCTTCCATTTGTAGTTAGTGCACTTTTGCTTCCAAGCTGTTAGGGGCTTCTGTACAGGCCATGTTTATAAGCACAAGGTAACTGGATAGTGCTAAGGAAAATCTGGCTAGCTTCCATACAATTAGCAAATGCTGAGGTTTCAACATCTAGGCAGTTGTGAAACAAAGGTAATAAAAACTTCCTATTTTGTCCCACTTTACTGACAGCAAATAAGGCCAGAGCATATTAATTGTACTCTCAATTAGCACAATTGCAAGCTCTCAAAATTGAGCAGGAAGAACCCTTGAAGCTGACTGTCTTCCATATCAAAGCAGAAATTTTTATCTCACTTCATTCAACATTAATTTTATTTTGAATTTTGAAAGGCATTTTTACTGTACAATTAATTAACAAAGAAATCAGTTTTCCATTCTGCAGTGCTTAGGATTGCTCCCCAAAGTTAGGTGAATTGTTCAGTGCTTCAGATTCCAGCAAACTCAGGCCTTGGCAACTAAAACAGGGACTCTAGAAGTTTAACTAAAGACAAGAAGGAAAAAAAAAAAAGACAAGAAGGCAAGCCCCAGTATTCAGACTGTGGACACTGCCAAAGGAAATTGCATTGCTTTCAAATGTCTAGCCTGAATATTGCTGTGATTAAAACAAAGGATCTCTCTGAGGTTAAACAACAAACCAAACCACTTAGAGCTTTACAGTATGGTTGATTCAGCAAGTAAAGAGGTAGTCAGTGTTCAGGGTGCTGTAGGAATGCAAATAACTTTATTTAGAGGAGTAGCTGTTCCTCTTTTGGTATAGCCCTCATTCTCACAGAGTTCATACTTTCCCCCAGTCAGAGCTTGCTTATCAGAGCCATTCTCCAGGTTCCTATCCACATCTCTATCAAATCAAAGTCTATAATTCTTTCTATTTATAAATACCAAAATCAGTTATTACCATAAGATACCAGTTCCATAGGTAATTTAAAGAATTTTTTTTTCATGTAGAGCAGCATTTAAAACACCCTCTTCTGTCTTCCACATCAAATAATGAGCAGAGTCCACCATGGATTTGGTGGTCTTTGGTCTTGATGATTTGGGGAGGTACCATGGATGAACAGCTTTAAATGTAAAGGTCAATGTAAACAGAATTTAGGGGTTATACTTAGTGCCTGATATAGAAAGAGCCTGTCCTGATGAATTTCAAGTTAAATACTGTTACCTAAAGCATGCTACATGCTGCATTAAAAAAACATGTTCTTTTCCTGTTTTATTAATGGGAACATTATTCAGTGGAGATGATGGGCACCAGGGCCCCATCTTCTGTCATACTGGTCACTGACATAACACGTGGTCAGCCTACCCCTAAACTGTTCCTCTGACTTTGCCCAGCAGCCTAGCTTTAGCTTCTGTCATGCCATGCTGCTGGTTGCCCACAAAATTAGCATGAAGTCATACTCTCTTACTTTACTGTGGGTACCTGAGACATGCCCACCTTTTAAGAGTTTCTTCTCTAAGTCCTTGATTTGCTCTCCAAATGCTAAAAGACAGAATTTGTGGGAAAGAAACATCCAAAGACCTTTCTAAAGGTATAGGGAAAGATAAGTACAGTAATCTTTTTTCTCATTGCCAGTCAACAAAGATGGAAGAGATAATATATAAAAGCTTACCAAGAAAATGAGGATTATGAAGAAATTTCCCCATTTGTTTTTTTTTTTTTTTTGGTACCAGGGATCGAACTCAGGACCTTGCTGTTATGAGGCAGGCGGTAAATTTCCCCATTTGTGACAACAGATCTTCAGGGAATAAACTGGTAAAACCTATGCCTTCCATTTTTAGAATACTGTTTCACGTCTATCTCAGGAAAAGGTCTAGGATTAGTATGTGGTTTATCTGTATGTATATTTATGGAATGAAGATAGTGTTTATTTCTCATAATTCAATTTACAAGGGATATGCTGATTTATGGGATTATTACACAGCACAAATCTTAATGTCAGCTTTTAAAAAACAGCAACCATATAACCACCACAGCTTGGTTTCTTTGCAGTTGTCCTAGAGACAGAAACAATTATTGAATACGTACATAATAGAGGGATTTTTTTTTTTTGCTTTCCCTAATATGGCTGTGTTTAGTAATGGCCTACACGTGCTCTGGCTTTAATAACATATCAAGTTGGTGGGACACCAGAAATCCCAAAGGAAGCCTGAAATGTCTGAGAGGCCCCTGGTTTGGGTGTGGCATCATCAAATGTGGAAACCGTCAAACCTCCTGGTGCCATCATTAGTAAGATGGTGTCATTGTTGATTCCACAGTACAAAGAAGAACGGAGCATTGTGGGGTGAGAGCCAGCAATAGTCCACGATGCTGTATTGCATGTAGCCCAGGAAAAAGCCAAAAGCCACGTCAGTGACATTGTGCCGGCCCAGCATGACCCTGGAGAGACCTAAGACGAAGGCCCATAGCACCACCAACACTCTCAGTGGAATGGCCAGTACCAGGTGGTTCAGGATGAACCTGGACACCAGGGCAGCCCTGGTGGCGTGGCCCGAGGGGAAGGAGTACTTGTCCACCGAGAGGGTAACAAACATGTCCATCTGATTGTGGGCCGGGCGGCGCCTTCGGACCAACCCTTTGATCAAAGCCACCAGCAGGAGGTCCAACAGCAGGGCGAAGAGCAGGTTCATCAGCACCTCGCGCCCGGCCCAGCTGTCGCTCCTGGACAGGCAGTAGAGGGTGCCCAGTAACCACGGGATGCCGTGCCCCGAGATCTCCAGCAGCTTCATGAGGGGCCTCGCGCTGCCCCATGATGAGTTCTCCCCCGCACACACCCCTAGCTTCTTGGACAGCCACAAATCGATGGCCAGCAGAGAGCGCAGGGCAATGGCCAGGAAGGTCGGGTTCAGGTCCATGCGGTTTTCCTCGGGCAGCGGGGGAGGGGGCGCCTGCGAGGGGCCCGCGGTGGCCAGGGGGAAGGAGCCGCGGCGGTGCACCGGGCTCTCGGACGCGCGGAGCCGGGCGCAGGTAGGGTCGGGGCCCGCAGCGCGGCTACTGAGCAGGGACTGGAACTCGAACCTGCCCCCGCCGCCGCCATGGGACGGGCTCCCCGGGCTGCTGCTGCTGCTGCTCGAGGCGGAGGCGCCCAGCGGCCGTCCGTCGACGCTCCTCCGGGGGCTCGGCATCGCAGCGGGCAGCTCCGAGCCCGGACCCGGCCAGCTACAGAGAGGCTTCCTGGCTCCGCGGCGTCTTCCGCTTCCGCACTGCCATCCTGGAGGGGCGGGGAAAGGAGCCGGCGAGCGAGATGGTGACGCCTGGCGGAGACCGGGAAGGGAGTAGGAATTTTCAGTTTGTGGCGGAGAGGGAGGATGTTGGTGCTGGGAGGTACAGGTACGGGGTGCCTTTGAGGAGTTACGTTTCAGGGTCTGTGGGAGGTTAAGAGAAATAGAGCCTGATTCAAAGCAAAACAAAACAAACCCTCTTTACTCTTTCACTTTATTGTTTTCTTTTTTTTTTGGTAGCGAGGATCAAACTCAGGACCTTGAGCTTGTGAGGCAGGCGCGAGAACCACTGAGCTAAATCTCCAGTCCTGTTTTCTTTCTTTTTAAGGTTTCTTGCCCTGGAGTGTTCCTGCCCCACAAGCAAGATGTGTGCCTCGGGGTCTACCTCCTGAATCAATACCTAGAGACCAACTGCTTTCCCTCTGTGTTCCCTGTTGTGATTCACCAGACCATGAGATTTGAAAAGGTGATCTTGATTATCGCACTGAGTTTTGCTGCGTGAAGAGAATCTAATGGTTCTTACAAAAGTTAATCTAATGGTTCTCACAAAGTTATTTTGTAAATTTCCTTTAATAATCACCCGAAGGCACTTCAGCACAGTACAAAACCACAGTTGGCCTTGAAGCAAAACCGCAGTTGGAAGACTTGATTCACAGTTCTGAGCCAAGTTCTGTCAATCTACTGCTCAATTACCCTGGTCGATGTTTTCTATATTTGGAATTCCCATGACATTTTCTAACTGGAGCAGAGAGAGCACTTCTGAATGTTCTTGGAGGTGTTAAAGACAGTTGCATTATATTTATGAAAGGGTTATTAATAAACTGCAGATTTTGTGGGGGGCTGTTTTAGACCCAGAAAAATAATGAAAAACTAAAACCAAATTAGTTTTGTAACTGAAATCTTGTAGTGAAACAAGAACGTTCTTCAGATTTATTCTTTACTTTAAGTCACACCTAGTTAATGAATATGATCAGGATACAAATAGCCAAAAATATTACCGACCCCTGTCCTGGTTAAGTATTTAAGAGAATGAATATTCATTTTATTACTGTGCAGTCACCGACACAGTTTTAACCTTATGATTTTGCCCCAAACATTGTCACTCAGGTGGATCTTTGGAGGGAGAAGGAAGAATCTAGTGTAGAACATAACACTTTTAGAGGTCTAGTAGATGATGCTCAAAAAGTGACCTGTTTTAACCTGAGGATGAGAGAGAAGAAAATTGGTTTATTAAAGGGCCAGGGTTGTATGTAATATTTTTTAATAACTTTATTATCAAACACACACACGTTCAAGAAATTAAAACCATTCAAAGAAGAGCAATGCAAGGGGGAGAAAACTACAATGATATTCAAATACAGTAGAACTCAACCAAAACAAAACTGAAAAGCACTTAAATATTTTTCCATATAACTTAAAAAAAGCATCCCAAGTACCAACAAGACACCAGAGGATGTGATTTGTTTCATAAAGGTCCCCCAAACCAACATTGAACAAATAATGATCTGGAAAAAAACTCAAGTTAGTTAGCAGACTCCACATAAGCCAAACTTCTCCCTAATTTAAATTTCGATACAATCATATGACACTCGATGGAAACACAATCCAAGAAATATGTTATTAGGTAATTTCATCCGTGTGTATCCTTTCAGAAAATTTTCAGTTTCTCACACTAGAGAAACTACTTGGTATTTACACATATGTGTCCAATTTATTTCACTTAAGAGGATGGCCTCAATATGCATCTATTTAACTATAAATGTCTCTAGTTTCTCATTCTTTATGGCTGAGTAGTACTCCATTTTATAAAAAAACCCCACATCTTCTTTATTGTTTCCAGTTGATGGGCACTTGGGTTGTTTCCAAGCTTTAGCTATTACAAACTGTGCAGCTATAAATACGGGTGTACATATATCACTGTGGTATGATTCTTTTAATTCTTTTGTGAAGATACCCAGCAGGGGGATAGCTGGGTCAAATGGGACCTCTAAGCCTAGTTGGTTGAGGCATCTCCATACTGATTTCCACAGTGGTTGCACCAGGCTGCCCTCCCACCAACAATGGAAAAGGGTTCCTTTCTCCCCACACCCCTGCCAGCATTTGTTATTAGATGCTTTCTTAATAGCAGCCATTCTTTCCATGGTGAGGTGGAATCTCAGCGTTATTTTCATCTGCATCTCTTGAATGATCAGTGATGTTGAATATTTTTTTGTATATTTATTTGCTGCTTTTACTTCTTTGTCTGAGAAATGTCTGTTCATTTCAGATGCCCATTTTTGAATTGGGTCTTTGAATTTGGGGGATCTGATTTTTTTCAGTTCTTTATATATTCTACATAGTAGTCCTTTGTCTAAGGTACAGTTGCTGAAAATTTTTTCCCACATTGTAGGTTGTCTCTTAGCTCTGTTGGTGGTTTCTCTTGCAGTGCAGAAGCTTTTTAATAAGATAAGATCCCAGTTGTTGATGCTTTGTGCAAGTTCCTGTGCCACTGAGGTTTTGTTCATAAAGTCTTTTCCTATACCAACATCTTCAAGAATTCTACCTAACTTATCTCCAGCAAATTTAGTGTTTCTGTCCTAATATTTAAATCTGTATGTAATATTTTTTATAAATCACATTCTCTTGATTTAAAGAATGTACAAAACTGGTTGGAGAGAGTGAGTGAACAAGAGCTGTTATCTTGGAATATACATTCAGAATCCAAAGGAACCTAGTTTACCTAGGTGTTTGAAGTGTTAAAAAGAAGGTGGTAAAAATGCAGATTCTTTTTTCTCCTAAGAATTTCCTTATTAGTGTTATCAATGTTCAGTTTGCCCTATAGAAGACTTAAAAAAATTTTTTTATAAGAATCCCAAGGATACAAAATCATGAAGTAGAGAATGATAACTCTGTAAATGACCTTGGGAGGGAGGGACATCTAGTCCAATATCCTTGATTTGGAAAAAAGGCGAGAGTCTCAGAGTCACATTTTAGATGTTACTACTGCTCTGTTAAAAAGGGGTGCATTTGAGATTAGTAGACAAATATATTCCGGAACTATTTTTTCTTTTCATAAAATGAAATTAAATAATTGCCTTCTTGTAAGAGTTGTTTGGGTTCATATTCTAGCTTTTTTTCCAGTTGGTTTCAGCTTTCTTGCCTCTGTTCTGTTCTCTAGCTGTAAATACTTGCAGCAAGTAGTGAAAACATTTTCTCTTCTTAAACCTTCTGTGTTATTCAGAATTAAATATTCTAAAGTGTTTGGATAAAAAATTCCTTGTAAAAATGTATGAGCCATTGTATTTGAACAGTTCATGTTGATCGTTTACTCAAGACTTGAGAAAAATCCTTAGATATGGGTATATTAGTTTCCTAGGCCTGGCATACAAAAGTATCATAGAGTGAGTGGCTTTAAGAACAGAAGTGCTGGAGGCTAATATTCTGAGATGAGAATATCTGCAGGGCAATGATGTCTCTGAAGGCACTAGGGCAGTGATGGCAAAACTTTTAGAGACTGAGTGCCCAAACTGTACCCCCAAACCCGCTTATTTATCACAAAATGCTAACACTGCGATTAAACTTGAATATTGAGGTTTCAGTTTAGAAAAAACAACTCATACATCAACATCTTTTGTCATAAAATAAAAACAATAACACAACTTTCAATGATACAAAGAGTTTTTCACTGAAAGGTAAAAGTTTTCATTTGGCGTGCTTTTGCACGATTACTATGACCTTTGCTGTCGTATGCATGCTGATAATTTGTCAAACCTGGGCTCATACTTCGTTAGTTTGAGAGCAACACATGTAGCACTCAGGTCATCTGTTAGTCTGTTTCTTGTATCAGACTTGATATAAGTTAAAGCTGAACATAGCTGCTCCCAAGCATAAGATGAGCCAAACAAAGTAAGAAAAGCAATCCCAAGTGCTTTCATTGACTTAAAGTTATTTGGCAGAGAATTCCACACTTTAAGGATTTCATTTTCAGCACTATCAACTGTGCTGTCCTTTGTCACCCCTTAACACTCAATCTTCTCAACTTTTGCACACAAGTCATAGAGTTTATTTTTCCATGTAGATCTTTCTTGAAATTCCAGTAGCTCCATTTACAGATTTCCAAAATGTAAGCAGTATAAGCAGGAAAGATCAAGTGCTTTAAATTTGACTCTGGAGAAGTAAGAAAACACAGGATTATTTTCATCTTATGGAACTGTAAAAACCTGTCACTAAAAATTTCTTTTGCAGCTGCAGTAGTGCTGGAAAAGTCCTTGTAGATTTCTTGATGACTTGTAGAATTGACTGCAAATGTGAAATTTTCTAAATGCATTTTTAGGTTTGGAAAATATTTTAGCTGCCCATTTTCAAGGTCTCTTTCAAAAACCTGCAGTTTTCTCGCACATATTTTGACATCACAGAACATCCGTTCTGCTGTCCCCCCACCCCTGTATAGTTTTTTGTTCAATACATTGAAGTATAGTGTAGGGTCTATAAAAATCATGAAGTTGTTAAACCAGGCCATATCAGTGAGCTGTGGATATTCCTGCCTTTTTTCATTAATAAACAGCATAATTTCATCCAACTAGGCTACAGATCTCTCCAGGACTCTTCCTCTGCTTAGCCGCTGGACATTATTGTACATAAGTAAAGTATTATACTGTGGCTGAGTCTCATCAGTAAGTGTTTGAGATTGTTGAAAATAAGAGCACAAGCCATGATATAATTTACCATTTTTTGTGATATCTTTGAGGATATCATCTAATTTTTTGCTGCTTTCCCTGGCAGAAAGGCTTCTTTATGTATAATACAATTAAACTGAATGATTGGGTGTTTTGCTTCTTTAACAAAGAACTGTATGAAACCAGATGTTGCTGTCAACATGCCAGGTGCCCCATCACTAGTAATTGAAACCACTTTTTCTGGTCTTATGACAAAAAAGCCTCCATCACAGCATTATTGAGGATTTTTTTTCTTTTTTTTTGGTACCGGGTATTGAACTGGGGACCTTGCACTTGCAAGGCAAGTGCTGGAACCACTGAGCTAAATTGTCAGGCCTTGCAGCATTGTTGATACTGAGCCCTTGTTTTCTTCCAGGTAAAGACACCAGTTTCATGAACAGTTCTCTCATGATGTCATCAACAGCATAACGCAAAATTACTCCTAGCCTTGTGTGATTATTTATATCTGTGCTTTCATCCAAGCACATGGAGTAACAGGCTGCCTTTGGTAAGTCAGTGGTGAGCTGCTGACTGACATTATTTGCCATGGGCAGGATTCAGTCTTTTTAACAGGATTTCTGCCAAGTGGCAACTCAGAAATGTGTTATATAATTTTATCCTTGTTTGGGAAATCATGAAAAAGGGAATTACAGCCAGACAACATGGCCATTTTGATAAAATCCCCATCAGAGAGGGGCTTATCATGTTTTCCTATGCAAAGTGAAATTTGAAAGATGATAGCTGTCACATGAAAGATAGTTGCAAAAACTAAGATATTGGGAATGATATTTCCTCAATTTCCCTTCAAGTAACTCTTTCCTTTCAGTTTCACTAAGTTTGGTAACACTTTTGTGGTTGGCGTCAAAGTGCTGCCTGACACTTGATGTGTGACACACAACACTTACACTATACAGGATGCATAACACTTATCCAATGTGTTCAATAATTTCAAATAGCTCTGGCTAGGCCTCTTGCAATGATCTTCTACTGTTTTCAGTTTTGCTTTTTTTTCTGTAATCATATTTTGGTGTTCATGACTTGGAAGTTTACAAAAACACAAAATTTAAAAAATGAAGCATCCATTACAAATCTATCCCTATAGAAAAAATAGCTAACCCTATTAGTTAATACTAAAGAGTTGAATATTCCCTGAATCAACAGTCTATGGCAGTGATTCTCAGCTGGGGTTCCTCTTGAATTTGCTGACCACTAGCACAAGGGAGCAATGTTCCACTGACCATCAGCTTTTAGCCTTCTCTGAAAAAGGCATCTGAGTGCATTTCCTACCTTGTGAGGGCTTCTGCTAAAATCACAGCCAGTCCAAGAAAATATATATATCCTTTCTTTTGTTTTCATAAAATTTTCACAAACAACTAAATGATGCTGCAGATTCAAGTATGCCAGGGGGACAGCACAACATTAAAAGAATCTCAGTCTCTTAACTAGGGTATCTATATACTAAATCTTATATTAAATTTTAATTTTTCATAAAAGAACTCAAAGTTAAAATCTTCTGTTAATAAAAATGAATGTATTAAAAATCATAGCCAGTCCAAAAAAATATATATATCCTTGACAATGCACTGACCAGGCATGTGAAAGCTCAGACGAGTCATGGCTAATCAGGCATGGCTGGCTGTGCTACTCCTTTCTGAGCACATGTGGCTCCTATATGGATTGTTATCTGATGCTTGGCTGCTAGGGCAATGCTGGGGTGACATAGCTGGCATTCTTACAGAGAGGGCTTTGTGTGCTTGCTGCAGTACATGTGCCATAGGTTTGCCACCACTGCACTAGGGAAAGATCTCATTCTAGGACTCTATCCTACCTTCTGGTAGTTCCTTGGCTTGTGGCAGTAGAACTCCAGTATTTATATGGCAATATAGTCTCTGTGTGCATGTTAAAAATACTTTGAGAGGATGGGGAGGCCATTAAGCTGGAGCAGCACCTCCAGGGCTTTAAGTTTCTCCGTAAGCAAACTGAAGCCCAGTGTAAACTGTAAAAGAAGACTAAAGACTGCCAACCAACCTCTAACTAGGAACGTTAGCAGTCAGAAACTCAACTAATTTTTAAGGGGCTTTCCTATTCTAATCATATTTTCTTTGTCTTATTTCGACATCATCCTACAGAAGCTTTCTGCCTACTTTGTAGCAATGGAGTGCTCTGAACCTTTTCAGATTATCAGAGCTTCTTGGTCCAGAGTCATTCTTTGTGCAAATAAAATGTTGAATTTATTTTGTCTAATGCTTTTCTTTTAACAGTTCCTCAAATACACTTTTAAAAAAATAATAACACCATAACATTTGGCCAGGGGCCGAACCTACTCTACTGTGACCTCATTTTATTTTATTTTATTTTTGTTTTTGGTACCGGGGATCGAAGGGTCTTTGCGCTTGCGCAGCAGGCAGGGAAACCGCTGAGCTAAATCCCCGGCCCATGTGACCTCATTTTAATTTAACTAATTACATGTGCAATGACTCTTTTGGGAAATAAGATCAGATATTAAGATGCTGGCGTTAGGATGTCAACCTATGAATATTGAAGGAGACACAGTTTAATCCTTAACAATGAGTAAATGGAAAGTATGCAATTATTGAAATAATTTAGGCAAAAAAATTACTCAAATTTGCTTAATAAATCCAAACTAGTAAGACAAAAATGGATTACAGGGAACAACCTTCATTTTTGCCCTCAGTGCAGACCTGACTTTGGATCCAAGAGCAGATTTCTACTCATACTTAAGTTTAAATCCATTTAAATCAGAACTTTAAAACTTTAAATTAAGCTCTGCTGAAAACTTTGTTTTTCACAGGGTTCTATATAGAGTTCAGTGGAGAGGCTTTTATTTGATATGCCTTTTATTTCAGTCCCATCCCAGAATCTTTTACGTCAAGGACAAAATAGATTTGGAAATGGCTAGACAATTATCATAGTGTTTTTTTAAAAAAATCTGTGATACACTTAAAAACTTATTAGGTTCTCCCCCCCCCTTCCTTCTTCTCTCTCTTTCTCTGTCTCTCTCTGGATTCTCTAAGAGTGTAACTGCTACTACTTAGGTTTCCTTTTGTGTTACACAGGCAAAATTTCTATTTATGTTCCTTCTTAGCATAACCAATTTCTTGGGAAGAGAAGTCATTCAGTCAACATTTAATGAGTATCTATTGCATGAAGAATGTTTTTCTAGTTACTCTAGTTACTGAGGTTGATGAAAAATATCCTTTTAGCATCAAGTGATAAAACTAGTTCAAAGTGGTGACATTTTAAGCATGTAGAGTTGGCTAACTCCTATTTAGCTAATACTTCTTGTTTTGTTACTTTTCATTCATAAACACTGTGTTTTAACCACACACTTATTAAGAGTGCTTCTCTTGAGTCCTAAAATACTATATCGCTGAATTTTACATATGCTAGTTATTTGTAAGCATATCTTTAGTTTCCATAAGTACCTACTAATAAAACTTTGAAATTTTATTTTTCCCTATTTTTTCTGTGCAGGTATTTGAAAATGCAGTAGATCCTGGAGCTGTATCAGACCTTTTGGAAAGTAGGTGCTCACGCAAATGAAAATTTAAAAAGCTATTGTGTGTAATTCACAGGCCTAAAATTCTGGTGGTTTCTAAACTGTGACACCTCCATGTTTGGCCTAAAGTTTCTCAGTTTTATTGATATTTCTAAAGAACCAACGTTTTGGATTATTATTTTCCTGTTCTCTATTTCATTAATTTTTGCTTAATCTTTATTATTTTCTTCCTTCTGTATGCTTTAGGTGTAGGTTACTCTTTTTTTCCTGGGTCTTGTACAAGGTTAGAAGATAGTGTGATTCTTAACTGTACGCTTAAGCTTTTAAGAATTTTTAAACTGAGATTTACTCAATTGAAAGAAGTAGGACCAAGTCACATACAGAATATAGAGTAAGACTCAGAAGCACATTCTAGATAACAAGAAGTGTTGGATAAAGAATAGAATCAAGATCAGGTGAAGTATTGGGCTGACAAACCAGTTATATTAAGAAGTTTGAAATTAGGCAAATATTGATTCTGGTACTACAGATAGTGGAGGTGGTCACTGAGCAGGTGTTTTAGAACAGAAAGCCAGAGCAGTGAGAAAATAGCTCAGAGCCAGGGAGATAATACGAAAGTAGAAAATCTACAGGAATCAAAGGTAAGGTGGAAGAGCCAGAAATAGTAAGTCTTTGATGGATTGATTGGATGTAGGCATGATCTTAACTCAGCATGCAGAGGAAACCTGGTTACTATGCGTGCCATTCAGTGAGACTGGGAATTCAGGAAGAGGAGTTGGTATGTGGGTAGTTTAACTTTGGACAGGTTGAATTTAGAGTGCCAGTGGGAGATGTTCAGTATTGTGGAACATAACTAAAGCTCTGGAAAAAATAGATGTGGTCTGTCTAAAGAGACTGGAGACTCTTCAGGATGTATATTTTAATTAAGTCTTGAATGAATGAGATGGTCCAGGGAGTGAGCACAGAAAAGGCCTAGAAAGAACTTGAGCAACATGATGGGGTGGACTAATGAAGAGGAGTCTATGAAGGACCAACTTCGAAAGATCTCTACAATGCCCTGAGTAGTGGTGCATGCAGAGTATCCCCAGTACTCTGGGAGGCCAAGGCAGGAAGATGGCAAGTTCAAGTCCAGTCTGGGCAACTTAGTCACTTGGCAAGACCCTGTCTCACAATAAAATTTAAAAAAGCCTGGGGTTGTAGTTTAGTGTGAAGGTCCTAGGTTCAATCTCCAGTACTGCAACAAATGAACAAAACAAAACAAACTCTACCATAAGCTGTTTTCTAAATCACTGGGATCAAATGTATTTCTTTGAGCACTAAAACTGTGTGTTTCAGGCAGGCATAAAGGCAATTGGATATAAAGCATCTACCACAAAAATGATCCCTTTGAGACTTAGTTTTTAAAAAGTGGATGTAATACCCAATGTACTGCATTTATCTTTGCGTCTGAGTCTTAAGAAGCAGGAAGATGAAATATCTGTCTGAGATGGGTCATGCCTGGAAGGGCATCGATTCCCTCAAGGCTCTTTACCTTCAAAAGAAGAATTCAATAATTTCAAATGAGCATCTAAGAATCAGGATCTTTTTCTTTCAGATCCCAAAATATTCACCTTGGGTAGTGGACTGGAGCACTGAAAGAGCAGTGTGTGTGTGTCGGGGAGCATGAGCACAGTTCTCCAGATCTGTTATTAGTGATTTCCACTGTCCTTGATATTTAAAACAAGTATGAAATACCATCCAGCAGGCAATTAAAAGCTGTAGGTATTTTTAAAGCATCCTAATTAACTTGTTCCGTGGAAGAATGGGATTTTTCAGTGGAATATCTTGTGAATAAGGGTACCAGGCTTGGGGGACGACTTGGGTTCAAATGGAGCCCTGTCACTATTAGTTGTGTGGCCTTACTGTACTTTTTTCTTTGAGATTTAATTTGTTTATTCGTAAAAAGGAAGATACCTGTATATTCAACTCATAGGCTTATGCTGAGACTTAATGTAAGAAATTTAGAGCCTGAAACAAATTAAGTGCTTAATGTTACCATTGGGGTGATGTAAATATATATTCTGCCTCCCATTTTGAAAACCTAAAATTTGAGGCTGTCTTGGCTTTTAATTTTTTTCCTTGTGCATTCATATATTTTTCATAGTAAGAATTTTACTTTTATTGTTTGTTTTAAGGTGCTACCAATTCTAATATTATTTTGTAGAAATTACTATTTATTTTTTATTGTGACATTATTTATCTTGTTACCTTTAAGATTTGAATTTTATTTTTGTTTATATGGACATTATAGATGGACTCATTTCTAAATATATTTTGAACTAAAGAAATAAAATTTTAAAAGTTATATTTTATATCTAATTTGTATAGTCATATGGTATACTATTTTAGGGAAGAGAAACTTGTATATTAATGGATAATGATTGAATTTTTAGAATGAAAAGTACAGTACATTGTTGTTTTAATGCTCTATGGATACACTTGGTTTTCTTTGAGGCAAGACCTTATTATGTAGTTCAGGCTGGCATTGAACTCACTATGCAGTCCAGGGTGGCCTTGAACTCATGGTGATCCTCCTGTCTCAGCCTCTTGAGTGCTGGGATTACAGCATGTCCTTGGCAATGGATATGTTTTTCTTTTTTGGGTGGTAGTAGGGATTGAACTCAGGGCCTTGTACATGTTAGGCAGGTGCTTTACCCTTGAGCTACATCTCCAGCCCTTGATACACTTTTATATAAGTACCATGCGCTAACTGATTGTGCCACTGAAGCTCCTGAATATACTTAAATTTATTTTTTTGTTTTGTTTTGGTACCAGGGATCGAACTCAGGACCTTACACCTGTGAGGCAGGTGCGGCACCACTGAGCTACATCCCTGGCCTCGAATATACTTTTAAAAGACAAAATATTACAAATTTGGTCCATACTTTTCAGGAAGTGCAGAGCTATTTTTGTAACTCGGTTCCTGTCAGTCCACTCCCTCACTTTATTAATACTTGAATCATTGTTGATATGGCACTTGTTTTTAATTATAGTTGCCGTGCTGTATCTATGGGAAACTGGTTCCAGGATTTCTGCCTATAACCAAATCCATGATGCTCAATTCCTTATATAAAATGATGTAGTATTTGCTTATAATCTATCCATACAGTATTTTCTCATGCAATTTAAATCATCTCTAGAGTACTTACAATATCTAATAAAATGTAAATGCTACATAAGTAGTTTTTTTTCCATATTGTTTAAAGAATGTTGAGAAGAAAAAAGCCTGCACATGTTTAGTACAAATACAATTTAAAAATATATTTTCTGTCTGTAGTTGGTTGAATAAGGAGGGCTAATTGTGTTATTATTACTAATAGTATAAATGGGATGCTATCGTATCCCATTAAATTTTCCCTTTAATAAAAAACTGTGACAATTTTCTTAAGCATTAAAATCTTATTTCTTTTTCATTTTAGGCTTCCTAACCAGGTTTGAATTAATACAGCTAGTACCTCCAGGTAATGTGCCAGAAAATATACTTCTAAACTAGCTTAAATTAAAAAGGATTTTAGCATGACAAAATGGAGGCTGTTATTGAAAATTTGTGCTTTTAAATAAACATAACTTATATGTTCACAAGTTTATGTAGCATACACTTAACCCCTGCCAGTTTATTTAATTTTGTCTACTAATTCCAGAATATTTTCATCACTCCAGGAACAAACCCTATTCTCTTTTTTTTTGCTTAAATTCTTGGTATATTTTAGGTATGCAATACATTTACATTTATCATTGGG